ATGATTTTAACCTGGAGCTCAAAACCTGAAATATGTCACCCAGTTTGCAATATTTACTGCAAATAAAACACCCTTTTTGGGGGAACAGAGAATCCCTTGTCTGTATTTTCTCAACAGGCTGCCAGAAGGAGTTCCCAGTAACCAATATTCACACCCAGACCCCCTTCACTTCCCATCACCTGGAGGACTGTACCCGCCGAGGGCGATTTGGAGATTCACCTCACAGAAACAATTCACTTTCTTTGCCGTCTTTGTGCTTTCATCTATTTATCTTCTCAGTTCAAGCGACCTTTTTCAGGGGGCACATGGTGCTTTTGAGAAAGCAGCTCTACATATGGCTGCTAAAGGGAAGTTTAATAATGAAAAAAACCATTTGAAGCCAAACCAACAAGTTGACGTTCTGAGGCTCATTCTGAATTTTATTACCACTTCAGCAGCAGTCCCTCAGGGTGAGCTGTGGAAGGCTTCAAAGTATAATGCCCTTCAGCGTACATGATGGAGCTGGCACGCTCCCAGCAGAGGCTCACAGGCTCCTCTGCTATCATGAGAACGGCATCTGCCACATGTGTTTGCACCGTTTAGGCTTTCATAACCTGCCAGAGTGATCAGGCTAAATATGTACAAGATGACAATGTTTGCCAGGAGCATAACGGGTGTGCAAACTTGGTCACTTCCTAGCAGGGATCCCTGCTGGCAGCCTTTATTCCGATGGCAGCGGCTGCGGGAAGGCGTTTGTGACGGGTGGGATGGAATGGGCTCCTTTGGAAGACAATGAGCAACATCCTTTTCGTTGCTAGGAAGCTGTTCTTGCCTTTCATTGACAAACAATATTTAAAGTCTGTTCTGCCTCATTTGTGATGTGTAGCCTACATTAGATGAGAGGCAAGGAGGAAGGAAATATTTACTGGTCTCCTGTACGAAAGGCACAGAATCCTTCTCTTTGCAAGAGATATAAATAAAATGGACAGAGCTGGGCACTGCTAGAAAGGAAAAATGGAGTATGTGTACATGTGGCTGTCCATACGAGACTTGCCTGTAGTGATTCTCCATTTCATTTGCAAGAACACACCATGTTCAGAGGGGAAGGCTCTGCCCCTGTAGAAGCTGTTTCTGAAGCTGCTATGCACCTGCAGCATGTCCTGGCAGCGAGGACCTGGCACCGACCTGCTGTCTGAGTCAGGTCTGATGGCAGGGGATGGAGCACTCGGACAACCCATGAAGTGGGTTGAATCTGTTTGTTACATGTCTCTAATTAACCCTTAATACGGATCCCTTGAAATCCCTTTTGTTTCTTCCCAAAGCCATCCACAAAGTCACCTGTGCCTTGCCCTCTGTCCCACTAAGCCCAGTGGCACTCTGGTCACTGCTGTGCCCTCCAGCACCCAGTGCTGCGAGCACTTGCAGAGCAGCACAACACTTGTTTTAGTAGACAATATAAGCAGAGTCATGAATCAACTTCATCTTCTGTTAATCTGTAAGGAGTGGAGAGTCTCCTTTTCTTTCTGTAGCTTCCCAGACTTCGTACAACATTGGGAATTTTCCAGCTAGATGTCCATTTTCCTGGGTTTAGATTTCTTTTTTAAGAAGAAATGTAATGCTTGAAATCAAAAATTCTCCAGGCTGTACCAGCTACATCTGGAAGATAATACTGTGTCCATTCTCAAAATCCTCAAACCTCAGGACATGCAAAGTCATTCCCTGGCATATTTGGATCCTTTACCCCTGAATGGCTTTGGTGGATTATGGAAGCTGACTTTCCTGGTGGTGCTTTTGGCACATGATGGCAAAAGCTCCTCTGTACTGAGGCACTTGTGCTGCCAGACCCCTTAGCCCTGTGAGTCTGCCGTGGCCCAGTCAGGCAGACACAAGCTACTGCTACACAAACCCCAGGAATCAACTCAGGAGGACAAGCACAGAGGAAATTGAAGCTGCTTAGCTGACACAGGCTCAAGTGGAGCACAATTATGCCAGGAGTGTGTGTGCAGAGCAGGGAATTCCACTTCCCAGGAGCAGAGAGAGTAAAGCACTGCAGAGGAGTGGGATATGCAATGCAATTTTAATTTCCAGGTCATCCTGACAATACTTCCCAACCAAAGCTTGCAGGCTACCAAAAGTCTTTTCTCCAATGCAAACATGCAAAAAGGAACATCCCATCTTGCCAGGAAAAGAGATGATGTGTTGTTTTGGGGACAGTATGTGGATGTTTTTAAGACTCTTAATTACAAAGATGATGCCAATAAAAGATACAGACTATTTTCAGATATACCTTGGATAGCTGGACCATGAATCATAAAGTGTTAATTTAAAGACGATATAAATAAAACTACTGAGCCTTTCCTGCCAAGTATCATCTGACTAATAATTTTGAAAGAGAGCTTGTTTACGTAGGTAAAAAATGAGACCAATTTGTATAAAATACCCTAGAGCACCACCTGAAATCATTGTTCTTCAGCACAAAGGACACAACATGTGCCCTGGCCTGCAATTTCCTAACATTCACCTACAACAGCCTGGTTGTAGCAAGAAGGATCTTTGCCTCCTTGCTCTGCAGTTCTGCTCCCTGAACACCTGTTTGTTCAGGCATCTGAGTCAGTCTCTCCTGTTAGACAGACTTAGGCACAACAAACCTGTGACTCTATCGGCACAATGTCTTGCTGGAAGATGGTTTAGAATCTATGGTTTACAACCCTCTTTTTTTCTACAGCTGCAATGGCAAACCAGAGTGCAGGGCAACTGGTCTTGCAATTACTGCACCAGAAAAATGGCCACTGAATCCAGACCTGGTTGAGGACGATACTGAGGCCACTGCAGGGACCTGTTGATGTCAGGGGAGTGACACTGCCCATTGCTCCCCAGCATCTTCCCTTTGCAAACACTGGTGATCCACCATGACTGATAAATCAGCTCTCTTTGCTGCATTTTTAATATCCTGGAAATGTTACATTACAGTGCTGTACCCAGAGGCACCCTCAGAAAGCAGATCTTGGTGTTGAGATACTGCAGCCCTTTCCTGTTCTGAGTGTCCTTGGGGGAGATTCTCCATCGTTTCAGCACTGGTATTTGGTAAAGCTTAGATCCTCTACTAGATCACAGCAAGTTACGGTGTAGTTGATTCTCACTGAACTGCTCTTTCAACT